TGGCCGTGATACAGGAGGATGGAGAGACCTGTGGGTCACCATGGCCGTGATACAGGAGGATGGAGAGACCTGTGGGATGACACCCAGCATGTGGCACATATACCAGAGACCCAAAAGGAAGACAGAGCGGGAAATCAGAAAAATTTGAGAAATATTCTCCCAGAAACTGAACTGTAAGGAAGAAAAAGAAAACAAACATTTTCAGAAATAACGGTCAAGGCTTCAAAATCTGTTAAAATGCACCCGCCCTCAGGCTGACGTCACTCAGTTCAGAAGACTAGACCCAGGTACATCACAAACTGTCAAAGTCCGAAAAATACAAGAAAAACACGTATATGGTCCAAAGAGATTTCATATTTATAGGGTCCAGCCCTATAGGGTCCTCTGAGCCCCTCCCTGCAGGTGCAGAGACGAGAAACCGTAGAAATAAGAGACACAGACACAGAGAGAGGGACGGGAGTTCGGGGTCCACTGCCAGCCGAAGCGCGGGGACCTGCAGTGGCCCCCACCGCCTGGATGCTCTGACTTAATTTACTGAGTACAAAGCAGGGGGCGGGGAAGGTCGGGGCGGTAACAGTGGCCGGTGACAGGTCACGTAAATCTCGTGTCTTGGAGACGGGGGCCCAGGACTTCCACGTAGCCGAGATCAGGAGAAAACCGAATGCGTCAGCGCTCTTCATGTATTTGTCAGAAATACCAAGGACACTAAGATTACGTTACTATTATTAATTATCTTCTGAGAAGAAGAGGAACCAGGTGCAGACGCAGGGCGTGTGAGTGGACGTGGAACGTGGCTGCTGAGGCCGGCCTCACGTGGAGGCAGTGGAGCCCCGGGGGTCCGAGGGTCTCCCCGACAGCCGTCAGGCCACGGCGGGAGCTTGTGGGAGCGGAGTCTTCTCCTGACTTCCCCAGGAAGGAGGCGTCTCGGCCACTTTGGACGCCTCCTCCCCCAGCTGGCTAACAGCGGGCGCGTCCCCAGCGCGGGCACATACATAGCTGAGGTGCCCTCCGGCAGCCCTGTGCGGGCGTGACAGAGGGCTTAGGGCATCGTGACTTAGGGACACTTTGTTCACAGTGTCACCGCAGTTCCACGCTTCATAACCCGAGAGTCACTAGCAGGATTAAAGGTTATATTGAGTGTATATCTTTAGAGGTAACTGTAGATTATATATGATTATATGAAGGAATAGCTATGTGCCTACCTTTCTAATTCTCTTCTAAATCAGTATTTACTTGGGAACAGGCTGAGGCTCCAGACCCTTGCCAGGGCACTTTCAGGGTTCCCCCTACATATATTAAGGGAAACAGAAAAATGAGAAAATTCCTCATCAGACAATAGAGAGCAGGCGTGAACAGAACTTTAACACGCCAAAAGAAAAACATTGTCCACTCAGAATTCTGTATCCTGTAAAAATCTACTTCAGAAGAGGAGGAGGAGCCGGGTGTGTTGCTCACGCCTGTAACCCCAGTGGTTGGAAACCAGCCTGACCAACATGGAGAAACCCTGTCTCTACTTAAAACTGCAAAGCTTAGCCAGGTGTGGTGACATGCACCTGTAGTCCCAGCTACTCGGGAGGCTGAGGCAGGAGAATCACTTGAACCCGGGAGGCGGAGGCTGCGGTGAGCCGAGATTGCGCCGCTGCACTCCAGCCTGGGCAACAAGAGGGAGACTCCATCTCAAAAAAAGAAATAGGCCGTGAGCCACAAAAAGATATGGAGGAGCCTGAAATGAACATGGAAGAGGCCGGCCTCAAAGACTACACAGTGTCCGTGTCCACCACAGAACGTCCTCGTCCAACTTCTCAAAACCAGCGGGAGCGAAACGTTGTCAAAGCTGGCAGAGGAAAAAACCAAGAGAGGACTGAAGGTTTCCCGCGGGAGGCAGGGCGGGCCAGAAGACAGAACGCCTTCCCAGTCTGAAGCAAAATGTAAACCGGGGCCAGGCGCGGTGGCTCACACCTGTAATCCCAGCACTTTGGGAGGCCGAGGTGGGTGGATCACGCGGTCAGGAGTTCAAGACCAGCCTGGCCAACATGATAAAACCCTGTCTCTACTAAAAAAATACAAACACTAGCTGGGCATGGTGGCGCATGCCCGTAATCCCAGCTGCTTGGGAGGCTAGGGTAGGAGAATCGCTGGAACCCGGGAGGCGGAGGCTGCAGTGAGCCAAGACTGGGCCACTGCACCCCAGCCTGGGCTACAGAGCGAGACTCCACCTCGAAAAAAAAGAAAACTGCTCCACAGCCCACCCCCACACGTCCAGGCTGCCCAGCGGCTGGCACTGGGTCTCACAGCTCATGGCGCTGGCTCACCGGAGACCCGACTCCCATAACCATCACACAAGTGGTCCTGGCCCCTCTCCTTTCCAATCCTCCCTCAGGCCAACCCAATCACCTCCCAACTGGGGGCAGCCCCTCACATGCTCACGGAGGCCTCCACACACGCCGTCAGCCTGCCCGCGTCGCCCTCACTGACGTGGAGATGCCAACACGGTCTGAACAGCCCCTGCAGAGCCGTGAACAACGCAGACCTCCAGTGGCTTCCACACCAAGAACAAAACTGGCCTCCTGACCCGCGGTGCGCACGCGCCCCGTGCCTGCCCTCTGTGCCCGCAGCCTCTGGGAGCCCAGGCCTGTCACCTCCGTGTCTGCCGTGGTAACTGCCAGGACTCCGCTGAATTTTGGCAAAGCAGGCCCATCCTCCTTCAGGCTCAGCTCAAATGTCACTTCCCGGGCACTGCCCTGACCACCACTCGGCAGACGTGGGCCCCCCACACGCACCCCGGCGTCGTGCCCACATTCCCCTTATGGAGCGCGGATGCACGGCCCACCACGCCGTCCCCTCACTGGACCCCTGCCTGCGTGGATCACAGCTTACCCCAGATCGTAGAACAGACGCACGGGCCCGAGGCAGGGGATGAGGACACCCGCCATCCCGGCCCCACCCAGTCCACCAGACGGCGCCCTGGGCTTCAAATCAAGTTTAATAAATAAAACAGCAAGGGGGGTTCAAGGCAGTTATCACTTCACAGTGTGGTCCTTGGTGGGGGTGAGGGTGGTCGAGTCCACTCGGAAAGGTGCTCGGGCACAAGAGGCCGACGGCACCCGCCCACGGAGGACCCCACTCCAACGTGTAAACAGACAGACGGGGGCGGGGAGGACAGGACTCCGAGCCAGCGTGCGGGGCGCGCCCACAGAAGAAAAGCCTGCAGGGCTGGGCAAGCGGGCTGGAGTCGGGCCCGCGTGGCAGCGAGGGCGGCGGCTCCTCTGGGGGCCCTGCCTTGGTACCGGGGGAGGGCAGAAACGGGGTGTGAGCCACCTGTCTCCTCAAACCCACGTCTGGGGTTGCTGAGGGGCCCCCACCCCAACCTCTCAGGATCGGGGAGCAGGGATGGAGGGGAGGAGGCAGGTGGGGGTGTAAAGTGCGGCTTTTCCTGAAGTGGAGACGACGGGGTGGGTGGCGAGGCTGGGGGGCGCCGGACAGCGAGGTATATGGCTCTGTGCCCCACAGGGTTGGCACTGAGAAGCAGCTGCCCGTGCACGACCCCCCGGCTGGGGCAGCCCGCGGCCCTGCCAGGTGTGGAGACGGAGCCGAGCAGGGAGCTGAGGGCGCCCCGGCGGAGGCTGCTGGTGCGGGGCGGGGCGTCCTGCCGTCTCCCCACCGGGGCAGCGGCCCCTTCTCTCGCCTCTGCTGGCTGGAGGGGACTAGGCGTCCGGCTCTGCCCGGTGTCCCCAGGGCCGGGTCTTTCTGTCCCTGGCCGCCGGATGGACCCCACGTGCAGGCAGCAGCCTGGACCCGGACAGCAGTGCCGGGCGCTGACGGTGCTGGGTGTGGCCCTGGGTCCAGTCTGTGTGGTCCGGCGCAGGGGCTCACGGCCCAGCCCCTCATCCCAGTCCCGACGTGTTCTGAAGCAGAGGAGGTGCTGCCCCAAGGCCTGAGAGGGGGGAAGGGGTCAGAAGACCGACCGAGGCGGGCCAGCAGCAGCACCAAGTCCAGTCTGGGCCACACACGCCCGCCCAGGGCCAGGAATCAACAGGTCATCACGTTACAGCTGCAGGGGAGACCAAGAGAGAAGCAGAGTCAGTGAGGCCCACATGTCCACACGGCCTGGTGCCGGGGGCTGACTGAGCCTCCCGGCCTTGCCCCCACCCA